CTCTGTTACGAAATTGAATCGATCAATTCGTATAATTGCATCTTGGATTAGAGGTATTTATGTACATATTTCGTTTCTGTTCGCGCTCTGCTGATGTTTCTTTTACAACGACTCCGTTTAATATTACGTTTAGGTGTATGTATGTACTACATGGAAGGATGACTTGATTTGTCAGTGAAAAGTAATAATAAGAGTAAATAGTTTGCTCGGGTTACTATTTAACAATCGTACCGTGAAGAAGGTACGACAGTGAAATGAATTTGTTCGATTAAACGCGCTAGATTGGGCTACCTCTATCGCGATAACAATTTTCCTTCCTTCGGTTGTCCACACTCCTATAAGTATGTATTTACTTACATAAGTATCTATCTACATGTATGGTATAATACACATGCATTGGTGTACATATGTGTACGTACGTACAGCTACACCCGTTCGAGATAACGATATCTTTAAAGCCGGCTGTTATCGCTAAAAGTCAGGTGTGAATTAGGGCCAGTGGTGCTCGATCGAACCGAATCCGCCGACCCCACTCGACCACCCTGAGCCCTCTCCACTTCCTCGTTTAATTTAATCACAGAGCAATTGTAAATTCCACTTTTCAATAGGTTGTATAAGATTTTCTCGTAAGAAAAGGTTACTACCGTTGGAGGACAGCATTTAGGAGAAAAGGGTAAACTATGCGGTAAATACGATCCTGGCACATTTGCTCCTTATTCAGAGACGTGAGCGAGCGAGACGAAGGAGACGCGGGGGTAGCCACGTATAACAAAGATTCATCGGGACCGGTTTCGTGTTCTGCCCTTTTTTACATTCCCCGAAGAGGCCCCGCCGAGCCACGGGTGTGAAAACCGACACCCACCCACTTGTTATTTTGTCAAAGCCAAGCCCTCTGAAAATTATAGGAATCACGCAGCATCGTCGCGTCACGTTCTCCTCTCGAAACCTACTCACGCCAAATTATTCTCCACTGCACGCACCTTCTCAATATTTTCTACCTGTCAATTAAACATACATGTACATAAATATGTAAGTACTTACTTACTACGTGGATACCAAACTATTCTGTCGTCCTACCGATATGCACTATTTGCACACACGCTCTCTCTCCCCACTATCCTTTCCTTCTTTTTCTCCTCCTTCTCCTCCTCCTTTTCGATCTACTTACTCTTTACATATACATATGTATTCACGTTTTAAATACACACTATGACTGCGTAATAACGCTGTTTGAAATTTTTTAATCGTTCATCCCTAGGCATCCCATACATATGTATATTATACCATCTAATACTGTATCGTGAGAGTTATCAACGACCACTTGTTACGCAAACGCTATAAACATTTATATAGTCTTGCTTATTTTTTCCATAAATTCTACATTCTTACTTGCCTATTGAACAATTTGGTTTCGTTTGAAATTGCGTCGTTATCGATACGCCACTGCGCAGTCTTGCCGCGCATCGATTTCGAGCGTGCTTATGATTCTCGAATCGAACCGGACAATACTTTGACAATGAAACAGGATAAAAGCAGAATTAAAGAGACAAATGCAATAAAAATGAACGATACCGTAGTAGTAATTAATTTAACGAGAATCACATGACATAAAGTACGCGTACAAATTTACCTGCCCCATAGTAGTTTATTATAATATAATCCCATCGCTATACATACTTTGATTGTCGCGAAATCATGGACACGAAAGTATACAAAATACGTGTATTTTTTATAACAATCTACATACATGCGTTACGTGTATATACACTTGTTTGGTACAACAAACACGTTTGTACAATGGAACATTCGTTGTCGAAGGGTTATGATGGAATAAGTAAACCTCTCTTGTCAGATTCGTGATTAAAACGTGTAACAGAAAATACGAAAGGGATAGAAATTAAAACCAACGTTCCATTGTTCCCTTTGAATTTCCCTCTGAAGAAAATCATCTTTCCAATGGTCAAAGATAAAATTCTGTAATCAACTGTGTTTCTTCTGCGCCGCATTCGTCTGGTTAACGAGAAAGAAAAGAAATGGAATTTCTCTCGAAGGAAATGGTGTTGCCATCTAATGGAACAAAGTGGCACTATCGAGGAAAATTGTAAAATCAAAGAATCCTGAATGTATCTTGGTTTTTAGTGCTACTCGAATTAACGCGTAACTCAACGATAACAACAATATAAAATAATTCTTATGTAGATTCCTCCCCCTCCTCTGCCCTTTGCCGTCTACCCTGAAATAACAAGAGACGAGAGAATAAAAACGTATGACACGTGTACGACACCTAACTACTTATTTATGTATTTAAATGAATGTGTCACGATACGAGGAAGAGGAGGTGGTTTGAAGTAGATAATTGCTAGCTCTTATTTCTTACCGTATCACATGACGGACGTATGAGGGAGGCACCCTCGTTATATTTCGGTAAACTTTTCTCTATAGGTTTACCGCGACGACACACAGGCTGTTTTATCTTTATCGACACAATAAAACAGGAGGTGTAAAAAGTACCACACTGTAAACATTTTACAAACATATGGTTAACCTATAATGTTTGCCTACGGTATTCGCCTGGATCGCAACTTTCTTGTCCTTATCTATTTTTTCATTCCTTTCCTTGTGTAACTCGTCTGTCTAATGCTATCCCTGCGTCTGCTGCTTATTCTTTTCCTTGCCCGTTATATTTATCTCTATTACTAACCTTACCAATTCTATATCATTAATTGATGCATTTGTAACGTGACACATTAACAATACAACACCACAGCCGATCTCTTTTAACAATTGTACGAAAAATTATCTTTCGCAGAAATGATATGATAATGATGAGTAAGTGCATACTTACTTGTGCCCTTCGGTTAACAAGAACAGAGAATTATTTAATCCCCAGACTTTATCCTACTACATATTTATATATTTGTATGTTTATACACATATATTTACTGTATTTCTCTATATTGTGTATTTTTATACATATATTAAGCATCCACGTGAGTACTTAAGTACTTATTTACTTACTTTCATGAGTAGAAATAATCTCTCGAATATATTTGTAAAAACTGGCATAATATATACTAATAATTAACAACACTTGTTGCCTATTATATATCATAGAATACATACTTACATTTATGAGAAACAGAAAAACAGTGCAATCAATGGTTATTTTCCGCCAAAGTTAATGTAAGTAATGAATAAGCAAGGAAAGGTATAGGGATAGGCAAGGATAGCAATGGTACAGTACGTTATATGTACACGAAAGCAATAGGGACACACAATGCAGAAAATTTTCAAAAGCGAGACTAGCGTCATCTCGCGTCTGGTAACTCGAACTACGATTTTATAATAGGAACACTGAATGTAAACAAAGGTATTAGACAAGGAACGCACTAGTGAGTGACAAGGACAGAGAGAAAACGTTTTCTATTGGCTGTCGGGCAGCCAAGCTTCACCAATCACGGTCTAAACCAAGTCGGTCGGTGAGAAAACATTAATAACTCGATAATTACCACGATTTTGTGAACTTTTAGAATTGAAGAATATAGCGTGAACCTTCAGCAACTTTCACATATAGTTTTTAGTGCGCTGAACCCTTTCGATAATTAGTTATTAAGAATTTTGTTACGTGATATCGGGAACGATACCGCATACCGTCAAGTACCTCTACGGTTTTTCAATAATTTCATACCTTTTTACTAAATTCTCATGCAACTAACTATACGCGTCTGAAAGGTAACTCTTTTGACTACATTCTCATATAATTTTTATTAACATAGTCCATTTAGTTTAGGAGTTATTAAACATTATACGAGAGTGTTCCCTGTACATCGCATCTGAGTAGTGTCAACTGTTATAAACAATTGCTAATATCTTATAAAGCACACGTCTTACAGCTACCAAACTAATTGTAGAATATAGGAAAAAGTCCATTATACATTCTACATGCTTAAAATTGCATAATTTATCACGCATTTCTATCGAAATAACGAAAATGTGTTACCCTTGAATGCGACAGGTGTAAACGGGTATAATACCTTTCATAGCTTTCTACTAAATTCTTGTGCAAATAACTATATTGAATCTGAAAGGAAACACCTTTAGTTACATTCTTGTCTAAGTTTTATTAACATATCCTTTGTGGTTTGATAGTTATTTAATATATTCTTTGGGTGAGTATTACAGGCGTCACATTCAAGCGTAACACATTTTCGCTATTTCAATGGAAATTTTCAGTCGCTATTTCATGATCAATGGTTAACCTTCAAGCATGTGAATGTAGAATGGACTTTTCTTTATACATATTGTTCAATTAGTTTGATAACCGTAACTGCCGTTAGTTCGCGGAGCCAAACACGAGATGGCGCTCCCTTTCCTTTTTATATCACAGATTGCTGCAAGATGCGTTCTTCTTTATCCACCCACGCAGGAAGTAGAAGCAGGAGGTACTCTTTAGGTGTGTCTATTTTACCACAGGAGTAATGTATAATAAATAAAATATATTTTAACAAAACCTCTTGGAAGCTGTATAAATAACTGTATAACTGTATAAATCTTCTATTTCCTGACGCTTGCTTTACAATTTATTCTTCACCCTTTGACCGCTTCCGCTTGACTGCTCTTGACTGACTTTGACTAACTGACCCTCAACCGCTACTCCTCCTGAAACACAGTTAAAGAAAAGGTGGCGCTGGAGTTCCCATCCACGCATCTCGAAAATTATTTACATAAGTGCAAAGTCGAAAAAGGAAAGTCCCACTGGGAAGTGGGATCAGTTTTCACAACATGACGGCAGCACTCGCGTAACTCGTTATCGTGGCCGGTTTAACGATTTTGTCGCTAGCCCCGAAAACATCGAACCTTGAACCGCACTCAACAAATAAACTTTTCCTCGAGATGATAAACGACGAATTAGATAAACTGAACAAGGGGTACGGGGCCCTAGTGACGTGCTGGATCTTGATAAAGCATGATTGCCACGAATAATCACCAATCATGCACGATAAAGTCGTTTGAAAGGGAAGTGCACGCGAGAAGAGTGTGGAAAAAGAGTAGGAGGAGTTGAGAACACTAGCTCATGGAGCATCCATGGAACAGTGATTCTCCTCGAGTACGAATCAATTGTGCGATGCATACACACATACAACATTCCCTCTCCTTCTAACCAAGAACCGAAAACTGTTGTATTCCGCGGCTCGCGATTCCTTGCGTTGGTTTATTATATTCAATAGGTACGCGGTAGGAGAGCCTGACGGAAACTGGGGCGAAATAAGGGAGCTATTCTGCGCGTAGTACTATTCGACTTTATTAGACAGTTCGGTGACGTTCGGTGCGTGAAGACCACTAGACAAAAATCTGCTGTTTCGTCGGAAAAGGTTTCTAGATATAGGTTCGGTAAGTACGAGAGTAGGGGTTGGTCTCAGAGGTGAATGTAGGGAGAGGCGGTGAGGTCTAGGTTCAGAGATGAGTAAAAGTAAAGGATGATGTGGAGGTCTAGGTTTCGGGGTGACTAACGTTAGGATGATGCGGATTTGTTTACAGTTAAGGAAAGGAGGCAGGATGACTAAAAACTAATGAAAGATAGGAGAGAAGTATACGACAGAACGAAACGAAGAGAGAAGCAGCGAAAGAGTGGAAAGCGGAGAGAATGTATGTATAATAAGTAGGTATGATTAAATATCGCTAACTAATACAACATATGTATGCTTACTTATCGGTGTGGAATAGAGGTGGCTATTTTTGCAACGCTTCAAAGAGATATTAGATACGTGTGGAATCTCCCTTTCCTCTTCGAGCAATTTTTACCAACTGTATCTTGCACACAACCAAACGGACGGTATTCTCAAGCGTTCCAACGACGTGGTATGTACTACCACGGTGGTCTACATATGCATATAGCTTGTTTGCTTCAGTGCGCATGCCTACGGGACTGACTACGACCGCCGTTACGTTACCCTAGCCCCAAGAGCACAATGTCCAAGAGCAAAGGTACGATTTTACATACAACAACAACAACAACAACAACGTTGTTTCGTTCAACGGTATTTTGCAGGTTGCACCGGCCCTGGTTATAGATCGCCAAAAGTAGCGATGCACGAGGGTCCTCGCGAGAAACTCATGTACGTAACCTGCATTCACACGGATCCAGATAAGTCCGACGTGCTGTGCACCGTTAACGTGGACCCCTCAAGCGTCGATTACTGCAAGGTAGGTGTAGCCAACCACACGCACGGCTGAATGGTGAAACGCGCTGGAATACATACGTATTTAGGTACATATTTATGTATGTAAGTACTTCTTTCTTCTAGATTGTTCATAAATTGCGGATGCCGCACGTCGGTGACGAACTGCATCACTCCGGCTGGAACATTTGCAGCAGTTGCCACGGTAAACAACGAAAACGAGATACTTTGGTGCTTCCCTGTTTAGTATCCGATCGTGTTTATTTCGTGGACACAAGCGAGCAACGGACACCGTCCATCAAAAAGGTTCCAGAGAGTCGATGCAACTTACTAGCCGTATCGCGCGGCTAATCTTCGTAACCTTTGATTTCTCTTAATCTGTAGATATTGACCCCAGCGGAGGTGAATCGACACGGGGTATCGACTTTGCACACCAGTCACTGTGCGCCCAACGGCGAAATTTTGATCTCTGTGATGGGCAAACCGAACGACGACGCGGTTGGTGATTTCCTTCGCGTCGATGCCGAAACGCTCGAGGTGAAAGGCACGTGGACCACGGGAGAGAAAAGAGCCGCTTTCGGTTACGATTTCTGGTATCAACCGTATCACGATGTACTCATCGCGACCGAATGGGCTACACCGAGAGTCTTCAAAAGGGGCTTCAAAAGCGTCGACGTCACTGATCCTGGTTCGTCTCGTCTCTCTCTCTCTTTCTGTGTCGCGCGTGTTCACCTCTTCTCTTTCTCCCTGTCCCACAGCGATATACGGCAGGAGCTTGAATTTCTACTCGTGGACCGAAAGAAAGTTGAAGCAAGTTGTGAATTTGGGCAACGACGGAATTGCGCCGCTCGAAGTACGATTTCTCCACGATCCGAAAGCTAGCGTGGGTTTCGTTGGTTGTGCGGTTTCTTCCAACGTGTACAAGTTTTACAAAACACCGAACGGCGAATGGGCTGCGAGAAAAGTCGTTCAAATCCCCCCCAAACAAGTCGAAGGTTGGATCGCACCGCAAATGTCAGGTGACTATGTATCCATATCCTAGCTACGCGTCCAATACTGTACTATTGTATGTAAATAATTTATCTATTTGATACACACAGGAATGATTACAGATATTTTGATCAGTCTGGATGACAAGTACCTTTATCTGTCCAACTGGCTTCACGGAGACGTTAGACAATACGACATTTCCGACACGGATAATCCAAAATTAACCGGGCAAATTTTTCTGGGTGGCTCGATTCTAAGCGACTCGAAGGTCCGCGTGATTCGAGACGAGGAACTGACTAGCCAGCCAAGTCCAGTTTACGTGAAAGGTCGTCGACTTGATGGATCTGCGCAGATGCTTCAATTGAGCCTGGATGGAACGCGCCTATACGTCACCACTTCCATCTTCAAACCGTGGGATCGACAATTTTACCCCGATCACTTCAAGTATAATTTCAATTTCATCCAGATAACAATACATAACATATAAATATACTACTTGCACGTGTTTCGATGATTCTAGAAGCGGCTCGACGATGCTCAAGATAGACGTCGATGTTCGAAACGGTGGTTTAAAGCTCGACGATGAATTTTTGATAGACTTTGGCGGGGACAGAAACGACGTACTACTCGCCCACGAAATGCGGTACGCAACTCGTTATTATCCCTCCTTTAATTACCATGTATGTATGTACTAGCAAAATCATCGTTCACCTCTCTTTTCAGTTACCCAGGCGGCGATTGTTCATCAGATATATGGCTATCGGAAGATTGATTCGTCGTCGATCGAGCGTCTATCTTTTTTCTACGCTATAATAAATTACATACTTTTTCTTCCTTTATTACTTTCATTTTTCTACCTTCCCAACCGACGCACCGCGCCGCACACTTACCTACCACATTCCTATCGGTAATATTACCTGTCGTCGCTAAACGCTAATCTCCTCAACCATTTGGAGCAAGCAGTTGAAGTATGCGCGATTACGTTCATATATCGGTTCCTCTGGCGCACCCTGTTACGCAGCTGCATTCACGCGTCTTTCCGCTCTTTCGGTACTTGTTGTGTTGCTTTGAAAATTGCTCCTATGTGAATGAACAATGCCAAAGGTGCGTAGAAGTAAAAAACCACCACCGGATGGTTGGGAGCTGATCGAGCCAACGTTAGAAGAATTGGAACAGAAAATGCGAGAAGGTAATGCGTGACGGAAACGACAAATTTAGGTTATGGTTGCAAGTTTTTAGTTGACCATGAAAAGAAAATCTTTCATCTTTCATATTCGCTCGTTGTGAATAATCGTATGCGTATTTTTCAGCTGAAACGGAACCACACGAAGGCAAACGAAAACAGGAATCTTTATGGCCGATATTTAAAATTCATCACCAAAAATCACGATACATATACGATTTGTATTATAGGCGGAAAGCTATAAGTCGCGGTAACTAAACCATCCACCAATTTCTACACCATTCTCTTTCCTCCACTTAATCCACGTAATCTCTCTAATACTACTTTCTCTTCTCCTTCTCCTTTTCCTTCTTCTTTCTGTCCACAGAATTGTACGACTATTGCCTCAACGAGAATATCGCCGATAAGAACTTGATAGCCAAGTGGAAAAAAGTGGGCTATGAAAATTTGTGCTGTTTACGTTGTATACAAACCAGAGACACTAATTTTGGTACAAATTGTATTTGTCGAGTACCCAAAGGCAAACTGGAAGAAGGAAGAATAGTGGAGTGTATTCATTGCGGTTGCAGAGGATGTTCCGGATAACGTTTAGCACTTAAGATAACAGTCGTGTAATTATATTTTCTCTCTTTCTTTGCTAATGCTTATCGCCTATTATTAAAGCCTCTGTCGCGTTAATGATAGTCGACAAACGAGTATGATTCCCCCCCTTTCCATTCCACCGTATACCATTTAACCGTACGGATAAATAATCAATTCTTCACATCCGTGACAAAACTGTAATTCGTTTCTTTAATCGACGCAGCAACCTGGTACATTGTTCTCTACGCATCAAAATGATCCCAAGGGTGATAACGACGGACATGAATATATGTCGTGAGAAAACTAGCTCAGCCGCAATGAAAATTGCTTTTCCGTTATTGCTGCTTACACGCTTATTTCAACTACTATACATGTACAATATATCAACTCTCTAGCTATTGTCCATACTTACTTTTTTTATTTTACCAATTGCGGTATTTTGCAGCTCGTAAAGCTCCGTGAAAACTGTTTGGTTCTCCTTGTGGGCAAACGTTTGGCTACACTGATTATTCAATACGATGAATCTTTTACCGTTCCGCCAAACTGTACCGGTACGTGCCGCTGCTGCTGCTGACGACGACGACGACGACGACGACGACGACACACCACTCGTTCTTACTTTTGCATTGTTATTCCGACCATCTCCTCCTCTATCCTCTATTCTCGCGGATAAAAATGAAACGGCCGAGCGACATTCCTTAACGGTAAAATCCTTTGCACAAGTTTGCGTGGTAATCCCTATGATTTGCCACGAGTATTTCACGGTACAGTTACACATTGTCTCGTCATCCTCGACAACGCCCTCCTTCTCCTTCGCTAAATTCTCCAAAAGTGTTTGCGACGTTTGCGAACTTGTACCAACCACCTGCCACGAATACTTCATCCTACACGGATGGTAATGCTCCATTTTTTCTTTCCCGTTCGAATCCAGAAAACTATCGAACGTGGCGGTACAACGTCCAACAAGTCGGCCAGCTACCTTCGATTCGATACGCTTAACTGGAATATTTATCTGTTCGGTATCGTTGATAATAGCTTCGGCATCGGAGGTATAGCAATACGGATGAAAAGAAGATTCCCTTCCAACATTACGTTTCTTTGCCGTTGCTCTAATTGAAGCGACTTTGTTCAATAGAACCGGCTCGCGCGAAATCTCATTTTCCATCTTTTCCCCTTCGTCTCTATTCATCGCCGATGAACGGCCAATTTCCTCGGAAACATACCGCGATCCTGACACACCGCTCTTTACCTTTTTCAACTTGAATTTTTCACAGCTGTTACCGTTCGTCTTTGAAAGATTCGATAAAATGCATCCAATGTCGTTTCTCACCGTCCTCCCATCCATTTTGCCGCTTTTCTTCCATTTATTCATCGGTTTCATTGGAACAGTTTTACGTTTCGCGAGCCAAGTAAAAGGCAGATCAGACATCGACGAGGGAAATGGCAACAGTTGCTTTTTTCTATTCTCCGACCGTTCGGAATAATTTTCCGATTGATTGTCCAGAAGAGTGGTGGAACTTTCATCCAACGTTTCTCCTTTGCCATCCTTCCCTAATTCTTTCCTCTGAAAACGTTGCTCGTTAATCGTCTTCCCTCCTTCCTTCCCTCCTCCATTTATCCTTCGGAAGGATCTACTTATGTATGGTAAGTAAGTACATGCGTATGTACATATGTCGTAGGAAGAGGGGAGAAGGGGGGAAACGAAAGAAAAGGAATTTAGATATTTAGATACATATAATATGTATGTAAATATATATAAGCAGCGATGATTCAGGATAGGAGAATACCCCGTTTGTGTAACTTTCCACTGGAAGACAAGATGGTTTTTTCAACAATGACATCCTGATACCGCTGCTGTTGTTGCGTCCACTTGAATTAATATTCGCTCGGGCATGTACAGGAGCGCGTTCCCTTGTGAAAACTGTCCTTGCTATAGGTACGAAAACATTCTCCGTGATTAATTCGACTTTCGGCACAAGAGTAGGCGTTTTCGATTTTAAGCTACTCCTCCGTACACGATTCGCTTTCGCGATACTTTTGCACTTCATCGTGTCTCCTAATTGAAAGGGTAAGTTTGTCACCGTACTAAATTACGTCTACTTGCCAATTTTCGACTGACTCGAAACGAAGGTTAAAAATGTTCTTCTTCTTGCCTAACAAGAATCACTCGATTCTGCGAAAGAAAAGAAAGGAAGAAAGGAAGAAAGAAGAAAAAAAGAGAAACGATCAAATCTCGACGATATTATTCCAGAGGGCGATCCAATCGTGGCGAATAGTCAATTGAAAAATCGTGTAACTATCATACATCAAAACGGTTTCTTTTTCTCTCCTCTCTCTCTCTCTCTCTCTCACACGCGCGCACCTCGCTTCCCTCTTTCAATCTCATCACTGATGATATTCTTTATTTGTAAAAAATATAATAATACAAGGATGACGCTGCTGGCAGTAGCGATAATGTTTGCAACGACGACGCTAGTGAAGGTGACAACGACGAGAAACGGTAGTATATAACAATAACAATAACGTTTCACGTAAACGCGTAATCCAGTGTAAAAAGTGCTGGTAAACGTATAATAATGGTGAGGAACGTTAGAGGAAAGGTAAAAGTGGCATAAAGATTCGTTCGATAGAGTCGGGGGAGGGAGAGAAAGAGAGCGGCGAATTTCGGTGTTTCCGAACCGCGGGCAGAGAGGCGGGGTGATTTGGATCGTTCGGTAAATGAAATCACATCGTTCGTCTGTCGTCTGTCGTCTGTCGTCTGTGCGTCAGCGCACAGCATCCTGAAGATTCGTTAACAATCTTCCGTCATAATATTCTACGTTATTATCGTTTAATCTAATCAGAGAACGCCAACTACGTACGTACGTGTGTATGTATGTATACAAAAGAACACGACTGTTCGTCGAATCGAATTCGATAACAATTTCATCGATGTTTGATTTCAAGTTTATTCGCTCTTGGTGCGCTTACTCCCTAAAATAATAAACACTTCCTATCCTTTAATATCGAAGTATGTATGTACAAATGTGTTCGGCATATCCACCAAACATTCGCAGGCACTCTTTATAACGTGTATTACATGTAACGCGCGAATACAATTGTTTTGTCAACTGAACCATACGAGTGAAACATTCCTGAAAATGATCGCGTCATCTTCGCGAACCTAAGCCCGTGTACGCGCGATATAACGTTCGCGCGTGACCGTAGAAAGCCCAATACTTCCGTTTCTCTTACTTTCTTACTCGACGATATAACAAAGTGCAAAGAAAGGATATTGTGGGTGTTATTTGCATATTTTCTATTCCCTTTTCCTCCTTCCTCCCTCAAATTCCTTCGCTTCTCTATACACATGTATATGCATATGTACGTATGTGTTAATGTTAATGTACACCTAAAACAATACACTTAACTATCTTATCTACCTATTAGATCAGTCATTCGTCTAATTTACCATTGTTTCCCCTTTCCTCTACACTCTTTTCACTGTCACGAGTAAAACGAACGGAGCAATCGAATTCAACGTGTTTGCAATTGAGCGTCTACGATGTGATCGCCGTGCTTTCGTTTTGCCCCATCCCTCCTTTAGTCGCTCCATGTCCGCGCCTCCGTCGCCTGCGAGGAGAAGGAAGAAACGTCTTAACCGTGAAGCAAACCGCAAGGTTGAGATCAGTCGACAGCATTGGACATTGGTAATGGGACTAGTGACGCAGAGGGTAGGTTGTGTGAATCTTTCTGAGTTCAATAAGGTACGTGAATATCCCTGGAGGCCGCACGCCGTCTGCAAATTTTACAAACTGTGATCAAGCAGATAAGGCCAAGGAGAATGGCGAGGGCAGCGCCTAGACCGGCACCCGCCCATCCAGCAGAGCCCACAACACTGGCTAATCCTCCGATGCCACCGCCGCCGATTCCGGCAATGTTACCACCGCCACCGCCACCGCCTCCGGCGCGTTTTCCGAGTACGTCGGTGCCACATGTTTCAATCGATTCGTCGTTCAAACCCAAGTCGTCCGGGATACCCAAGCTACCGTTGTGCGCCGTGTTCTTAACGACCGATCGATGATGCTCCGGCACCGGACAGTTCACCACACCGTTGCACACGAGCCTGGCGGGAATGCAACCGGCGTCGCCCGGACATTGGAATCCGCAAAATTCCTCGAGCTTCTGCGTATTCAGCCCACCCGACGAGTCACGCGGTAGATGATACAATTCCGTCCAAGCGATTTTAAACGCCGCTCTCGCCGGAGCCATCGACCCGGTGAACTGAACGATCACGGTCGGCCATTCCCACTCCTCTGGCTGTTGATCGCTCGGCTGTAAGTGCGTTTGAGTTTGAACGGGATCCAACGGGCTGCTGCCGGTGTCGTGATGGTCCTCCCCACCAAAGGTATGCGTGCAGACTGGTGCGATCTGTGCAGCTGATATAATCGGCATTTCTCGAACGTAGCTCACGTTCTCGCCGCATATACCGAGAAACGGTTCTGTGCTTCCAGGCAAGAAGATCTCCAGTTTCCCATCCTCGCAGGACCTCGAGGCGAACTTGATCTTGTCGAAATGCAACCAAACGTCCCTCTCTCGGTTCACGCGCAACTCCCATATGCACTTGATCGACCGTGGCGGAGTAACGTATCCGAGCGCTTCGTAGTGCGGAAATTCGATTTCGCCGTCGGTGGTGGCTGGGAGAACCGCCGGTCCGCACAACGGGCTGTGAACGAACTCGTACCGCGCCTCGAACAACGGCGCAGACTGTTTGAAATAGCTTACCGCGGCATGCGCACCATCCACCAGTAGCTTCAACTCGAGCTTCTCCCCGCGCGAGATCACGCGAACCACCGGTTCTCCTCCTTCACCGCCGTTTATCCTCGATCGACAAATGCAATGTCCTCTGCCGCCAACGATACTACTACTACTACTACTACTGCTGCTGCTGCTGCTGCTGCTACTGTTCCCTTGATGCTGATGCTGCTGATGCTGACGTTGATGTTGTTGCGAGTACTGCTGATGATCGGTGGCCGTGGCGTCCGCAACGGCCGGTTCTCGGATGATCAACCGATCCACTCGACTATCCCAACAATGACCACACTGTGCGTACGGATGCTCTTTGAAAGAGACCGACTCCATCGTGAGTATCACTCTCGCGTACAATCGCTTGTCTGTGACGAAGGTGTAGGTGCAAGACAGGTCAGACGGTGGATCACCGGGCCGTTTATAAACGAGAGTGTTGAGCGGTGACCGAAGTCGGCCGGAGCGTTCTTTCCACGAGGCGAATGTTTCATCGCACTCTGTTCCAGGAACGGGCACGCCGATTCTGGTCGCGTTGAAGAAATCGTAGTGCGCCCAATAGTACAACGAGCTGCCGGAATAGCTGCCCGTTTTGCTCTCAAACTTGACAAACAGAGCGTTCGAACTCGAGACGAAATCGTGCTTCTCCATCGGTTTGCTGAACGTGTCGCAGAAAGTTTTAATGATCTTCGCGTCATCTGGCCATTCGGCGTCGTACAGGGTCAGGCTCTCGCCGCAATCGCCGTCGTACGGTTGTATCGGCGACTCGATGCGATTCACTCGAAAGCTGGGAAAATAAAGCCTGGCGATTTCCCCGGGCCGCCCTTTCAACAGATAGGTACAACTGGTATGCGGTGGATACCAGTGTGCTACCGAAAGGAATATGCCTTCGTTACCGGTGTGCAGAGACTCGCTGTTCAATAGCCAATCGCAGCTGCCGTTTCGCACCCCGGCCGTTTCCACGTGGCCTGGCCAGTTGCCGACGTTGAAGTGGAAGCCGGTGTTCAAGAGGGGGCCCGCCGGTGACGAGACAAACTCCACGTAAAGATCCTCGCTGGTACCGATGATGCTGTACGGGAACTTGCCCATACCACAAAACGTGCCGATCGCCGTGCTATTCTCGTCTTTGCCGTCGTACACGCGTATATAGTCGTACGGGCAATGCTCCGAGCCGGAACTGATCGGTCTCATCGGACAGGTCATGATGTTCTCGCATCTCTGCCCGTCGATGTTAAACTCTTCGTTCTCGATGTACAACTTTATGAACGGTAGCCGCGTGTTCAGCCGGTACTTGCAGTGTAAAGCGCGCGGATATATACCCGGGTAGGCCGGGCTTTGCACGTAACACGTTTGCAACCTGCAATCCTTGAATACTCTCTCGCAATAACTTCCGGGCACGATCTCGCCCCTGCGGTTCGGGTAAAGCTCCGGATGTTGGCCGTATCTCAGATACTCTTCGAACTGTGGTTCTGCTCGAGAGTCGAAGCTGAAATACGTCTGATCGGTAAAGTTATCCGCGTGGAATATCACCCGTACAAAACTTGTTTCGGAGATGAACATTTGCTGTTGCTCCGATTCGCCGCAATAAACTCCCGGATCCTTTCGATTGCTCACTTCCGTCTTTGTGTTTCCATCCACGATCTGCAAATCGTCATACAGAGTACTCTTCTACCTTACACCTTCTTTTATCAACCGAACCTTCTCATTTTTCTCCCTCTCTCTCCCTCTCTCTCCCTCTCTCTCTCTCTCACTCTCTCTCTCTCATACACACACGCA